ATAATCGTAATGATTATATGTATTCTTTCTTAAGGTTCTCGTTAAGGTACTCCCTAAGTGCCTCTAGCTATGCTTTGTTTAGTTCGTAGATGGGGAAGAATTTGAGCTATTTCTCTTCTTGTAGCAGAATCTTGTGATTGTATGGGCTATATTCTGGCAATTCTGTATTCAATTCTTTCTGGAATAGTTTCTTGAACTTGTGATATTCTCGTGGTATGTTTGCGAGTATTGGTTCTAGTTTCTATGCTGTTTCTGCTATTTAGAGGAACAGTAGGTACTGTTAAGCGTACTTCTTTTCGTTCGTTGTTTTTGGTAACGTTTTTGAGAGCTTTGAGCGTTCGCTCCGAGCCAGAGCGGGCGCTCGAGGGCCTGGTTTCGAGGTTTTTCCTGTGTGGATTTACAATCCACTTTCTGAAGCTTTTCCTTGTTGCTCCGGAGCGGACTAACTTGCTGAGGATCTCGCTTCCGTTGTTTTGCTAATCTATTAGCGCTCTGGTATTGTTTGGGTTCGCTTATTACTAAGTTCTTCTCTCTGAACTGCTAGCTCTGCTGACTTGGAAGTATGTATGAAGTTGTATAAAGCTTCTTTTCCTGAGTGTTCTTCAATTACTGGCTTCGATCCTATGCTGTTGATTATAACTATCTCTCTGGGTACAGCTTATTCTCATGAGATCTGGCTAGTAGTTCAATTGATTTGAGGATTATGCTTCTTGAGCTATAGAAGCTCTATAATTAGCTTATATTGTGCTATATCCGTGATATTAAAGGAAGCTCTGATTATATGTTCTTGGATCAAAATAGATAGATGATCAGTCTTCTTATCGATTACTCCTTGGTTGTATGCAATAGATTATTCTTCTATAGTGCTAAGAGTGTATGAGCATCTCTTCCATCTTTATTGTAGTTGTATCTGATTAATGATGTATGGGAATATGAAGTTTCTCTGAGCGCTACTGTTCAATAGTGCGCTGTACTTGTATTCTTAAATGTATATATTGAACTTGATATAAGTGTAATCTGTTCTGAAAGCTTCATATAGGAATTGTTCTGGTCTAATTATCTATAGTCTTTTTATAAGCAATTCTATTCTTTTGAGTTTGTTGAGAACTGCTAGTTCTTCTGAGCTTGCTTTGCTGCTTCTTAAGCAAGCTTCTTAGCTTGCTTTTGCTTATATCATTATTATTCCTAGTTTTTCTTCTATTAATGCTAATTACGAATCTTATCATTGATGTAAATCATGCAGAGTATTGTTTTGTACTGCTACCATTTTATTTCCTTGTTCATGCATTGCATGGAGCAGTTGTTTGGTAGTTCGATGTATATATTGTAGTGCTGCTTGTTGAGAACCTTCCTGAAGCGGAGTTCCTGTTCTTCAACAGCCTGAAGGATTTGTTCTGGTTCTCTAACGGAGAACCATTCGTGTTGCGCCTTGTCTGAGAAATGCGTTCTGCAGCTATGATAGATGCAGGAGATCCATGCTAGTTCGTAGTATAGATTATGGAATGAGCTGATTCGAGGATTCTTATCTTCTTGTGCCTTGATATTCTACAAGGGAATGCAAGTGAAGAGCTTTTCCAGCTCTATTTTGTAAACGAGATATTTGATCCATATTGTTTCCTTGTTCCATCCAATGCTAAAGGGAAATCTTCCTGTAGGTTTCTTGGATTTATTGTTCACAGGAGACTCTGGTGAATTGTTGAATCGCTCATTCTAGCTTGATCTTTCTATTGCCTGAGAAGCGTTTTCAGTATTGTTTAGGTATTCATACCAATAATCAAGAGGGTATTATTTCTTATTTATATCTCTAATCATGGTGCTTAGCGTAAGCGATGAAGAATGCCGAAGGGTATCGTTGCTAAGCTCTTCTTCCAACGCTTGAATGCTCTGTTTCACAATGTTGAAGCAGTTCGAGTTGCTACTCGTGGGGGTGCTAGGCGTGCATCCTCGTTCTGCTGTTGCTATTTATCTGCGATGCTGAGGCTTCTGGGGGAACCATTCTGAACCTTTCTTATTCGAGAGGTGTATTAAGCAGTTATTATTGTAGCAGAATGTTCAGCTAAGACTTCCGTGATTGATAGAATCTGATACTTGCTCCGAGGAGGTATTTTTGCTTAGTTGATTGGATTTCTGTTATTAAGCGATATTCATCTAGCGTTCTTTCTGGACTAATTGCTATTTGTTCTTCCGGGATTGATAGCAGTTGCATACGATGTATTCTTGTTTGTTGCAGTTGTAGCAAATAATATCATTCTTCTTGCTATACTGCCTGTTGGCTGCATTGAGCTCCATGGGGCTGGCGTACATAGTGCTGCTCTGGGCTGTATTGCTATATCGACTGCTATTCTTATTTTGGAGTTTCTTGCCTGTATTAGCTGGAAATCTCTAAGTCTAGCTTCCTTTCTTCTTGGATTTCTTCACTCGTTGTTCATATAGACAGTTGTTGATGCGGATAGCTTGATTGGAGAATGTTGCGAAGTTCTCCAGCCAATCCTGCTTGAAGATCTTGTTCTTAATATCGTTTTTGAGTTCCTTATAATAGTGTTTCATGAGATTCTTATCTTCCTACGGAAGTTTTGCTAAGAGCTGCTTGAATCTGATTGTATAAGCAGAAGCCGATTTGGTCTGTTTGAGATCTATGAGCTGCTAGGCTGTAGTATATTCTTCGTTGGAATTACTAAAGGTTTCCTTGAGAGCTTTCTTGAAGCTCTCAAAGAAATCGAATATATTCTTGGTATTCTGGGTATATGCATTGGAATTATTCTGATGCTTCAAATAGTTGCATAGAGAAAGCTTGTATTAAATAAGAGCATTCTTTTCGAGATAAGTTTCTGCAAGAATAATCTTCTCAGATTTCTTGATAAACTGAGTCTCGTAATGCAGGAAATACGCTCTGCAGTGGATAAGGAACTTATGCAGCGTCTTCTGATTGCCGTCGTACATAGCGGGTTTATCCATCTTGTATATCTTTCCAGCGCCACTGATGATTGCAGAGGTAAACTGCGCCTGCTGAGCCTATTAGGCTAGCTGAGCTTGTTAGTTAGCGATAGTAGCGCTCTGAGCCTGCTGTTGTTCGCGCAGATCCTGAATACGCTGGATAAGCTGATACATCTAGTTGACTAGTTCTTCCTGAGTAGGGGCGCGCGAGAACGAAGGGATTCCTGGAGGAGCCATCGTATTCCGTATTGCTCAAGAGGATAACACTGAACTGTTCTTGAACAAGAGTTGTCAAAATGTAATGAGCACTGCAGCAATCCGAAGATTCCTAAGTATACGAAGGGATTTATGCTAACAAGAGCGGTATTAAAGTATCAAGTTCTTGAATACGGAACCGTACAAGTCCTAATAAGCGATGCAAGTATTTACTGCCTTTGAGGCTACTCAGTATATAAAACTGAATACTTAGATTAACAACTGAAGAGCTATGTACTGAATCCATCTAATGGTAATGAACGTGTCCTTATATATTCAGCTCTTCAGTACGGCTCGTTGGGATCGCTGGCGAGCTCAGCGATTCAAGGTATGAAGCTCGTTGGGATCGCTGGCGAGCTCAACGATCCTCCCTCCTTTACAACCCTAACCCTGGGGTATGTAATCAATGCTTTGTCAGAACGTTGGATTCTTGATATCTGGTCCTTGTTACTCGTGACTTGTTTTCGTGACCTGCATGTTGGATGGGTCATAACAATTTCTCAGAATAATTATTGCTAATTACAGCATGCTAGAAGAAATAATCTCCAATAGAAACAGAAAATTCAACTCAAAGTTTTGAACTTTGCTTATAAAGCAGCTCAGAATATACTACAGAATATCTATAGCATTTCATCTGCAGACAAATGAATAAACAGAAAGAATAAATCAAATTATTAAGCAGTATCTTCAATATTATATTAATCAGAAACAGAATAACTAAATTAATCTATTATTTCTTATATAATTCGCTTATAATAGCGCAGATATAAGCATAATAAAGAAATCATTATTCTCTATATTCTATAGATATAATCTAATAGCTTATTACAAAGCATTGCTAGAAGCAGATGCAGAAGCTGCAAACAAAAGAATTAAAAAGATTAAAAAAGTTCAGAAAGAATTCTAATTAGAACTATAATTCATTCAGAAATGAATAATACAATATACAAACTTCAAAAGAATTGAGAAATTAATCTTACAGAAGAGAGATAAGATTTATCTACTTTGGAAAAATATTAAAACAATCAGATCCAGCAGCAAGCTCGATTATAAGAAGTTAGAACTATTCAAAATCTTGCAACAGATTTCCCTAGTTAATTACAAGTTAGTATTATCTTATAAAATGAAAATATATCTGATTTTCCACATTTCACTGCTAGAATCAGCAGCACAGGAAATACTAGCAGATGATACAGCAGAAGTAGAAAACAATGAATCAGAGTATGAGATAGAGAAAATCCTTAAATACAGAAGCATAGATAGCACAAGGGAATATCTTATCAAATGGAAAGATTATCTAGCAAGCGAAAATTCGTAGAAACTACAGAAAAACATTAAAAACGCTTAGAAAAAGATAATCGAATACTGGAAAAGGAAAGAAACCAGCGCCTAGAATGATCGCTCCGCCCCGAACTGAAACCCAGGAGCTTCAGAAATCTTACTCTCCAGGAAACCAGCGCCTAGAATGATCGCTCCGCCCCGAACTGAAACCCAGGAGCTTCAGAAATCTTACTCTTCAGGAAACCAGACCAGTTTACTACAGAATTCCCTATATCCACAGAATTCCAATCAAAGCTCTCAAAGAAAGAATCCCCAGCTATCACAGCAGCTTCCTCGAGAACCACCTCCTGCACAATCACAGCAGCACAGCGACGCTCGGCCTTACGCTCTTCAGCCTCCATGCAGTCCAATTCCTCTATGCGAGTAATGCTACAGCGTAGAGCACATTTCATCTTCTCAAACCACATCCACTTCTATTAATACAGACAGAGAAGCTCGGTCTCCTTCCTCTCAATCTCATCCTCCAACTTTCAATGTTGGATAGCAATATTGCAAAGCTTCTCGGAAGAGGAATCTATAACATCGTACTTGGAGCAATCTAGGCGAATATATTTGATGCAACGAGAAGAGTCTCCGGAAAATACCTTGCAGAACTCAAAACCGCGCTCTTTGCAGTAAGAACAGATGAGCATCTCAACAAAATTCTCCAGAAGGCGAGAAACCAGGAGATTTCGGTTGTAGGTACTTTTTGGAACAGAGAAGGGTTTGCAAATGCGAGATTTGTTGACTCTGCTCAACATGATGAATCAGGAAAGCATGAAGTATAACAAGAAGAATAGCTGAGAGAACTTACAGAAAATCATTAGGAACAACGATCCATAGAAGAGAGATGATGTTATAATCCATCCAACATGCAGATCACGAATCATGCTCAGCTAACAGAAGAACCAGATATCATAACTCAACATCAGAACAGCTAATAAGGATTATATAATCCAGAGTTAGAATTACTAGCGCAACTATATTAGCTATGAACATAGTTAACAGAGTCAGAAGATAACTATGAGAAATTAGAATATAGTTATCATAGTTAGAACTGAAGAGCTGGATATATAAGAATACGCTTATTATCATGAGATAGATCATGAGTATATAGCTCTTCAGTTATCAATCTAAGTATCAGATTACTCCCCTACTCTGATAGCTCCAAAGGTAGTGAACACTTATACAGTTATCTCAGTTGTATTTCCGTATTCAAAGCCTATACTTAGCATCGCTCTTGTTAGCATAAACCCTTTATGTACTTTGGAATCTTCGGATTACTGCAGTGCTCATTACACTAGCTCTCGAGTATCTTTCTGAACCTTCAGGATCCTCTGAGCAAAGTGCCTAAGCTCTGAATAGCTTGGTGCAAGCCCTAGGCTTTCCTGAACAAGAATCCATTCAGCCAACTTCTTTTCCTGAGGAAAGGAGAGCTTTTGCTGATGTTGATGAGCTGTTTGATGCGATTCTCTTCCTGCCAGGCGATGAAGAAGAGTAGTCCTCGGGATCCCGTATTCGCGTGCGGCTCGTTTCTGAGACCAGCCTTTTTTAACAGCCTCGACGGCCTGGGCTACCTCACACTCGGTATATGACTTCATTATTGTCGTATGAAGGCCCTGTAAAAAGATGAAGTTATTCGGATAAGAATTGGTTGAGAAAAGATTATAAAAGTAAAGGTGGTGGAAATGGCGGTGTGGCTGGCCAGAGGTGTCCACAAGGGGGGGGTGTCCACAAGGGGGTGCTTCGACTTATCAGCTTTGGCAACCAATTAAACTGGAGCTTGCATTCTTTACACTCTACTAATGGAGTTCAGATCATTTATGCTCCACGAAAGGTATCAATAGACGATGTTTTGCTAAAGCTTCCCATTACTACGAACTACACGATTACCTCAGGACCTGATCTCCCTAGATCGATGTATAACTCTATTGCAGCACAACTTTTCTTCATTGAGCTGTTTGAGCAGCCATGCCTTGCTACCTCGGCATTCTGCATTCTATACCTGCAATGCAGGCTTATTCGCAGCTCAGGGCTGCATAGTTTCTTGATGCAAATCAAGGATAGTATAATCTATTTCCGAGGCGATGAACAAACAGTCCGCGCTGCAAGACTTCTCCCTCGTGGTCAGCTTGCGCAGGACCAGTTTAGCCGGATGATTAAGGTACAGGTCTCGTCTCTGCAGTTGCAGATCTGGGTTAGCATTGACATAAATACTGCTGGAAGCTCATGGAATATAAGCAATTGCTCATATGAACTAGACCAGCTGATACAAGACCAGGGAGTGGATTGTATATTCAGCCATAGTGATTACAGAAAAAGAAGGATTAATAGCAACTCAATAAGCAAGATACAATTAAGGCTTCAGATTGAACAATTACAGGATACAATGAATTCAATATAACCAGAAAAATTCGAAAGCCACTTCGGAACACTTTGAAGCCGGTAAATCCAAGGAGCCCATCGCTAACCTGAAGAGCCCTGCTGAAGCCCTAACTCTGCAGAGAGACGTGCTTCATGAGAATAAGAGTTAGGAGGAGATTTATCAGGAAGCTTTGGAAAAGGCCAAGCTGAAGGCTGGGAAGGGTGAGAGCAGGGATTCATAGAAGGGGAAACAGGCGTATAGGGCATGGCACTTGAAACAGGAAAAAGCCTGTGCGAAAATTGATGCAATTCTCTCAACCCCCACCTCAGGAATGAGCTGCTTCTCACATTGCTCAACTCTTAGCAGCCACTCTGTGCAAGCAGCGGCGGCCTTATTGTTATTTCGCTTGCCATTCTCTGTGACTTGAGCACCTTTGACAGAGACCTGACTGCATTCCCTTGCAGATGGAGTGATATTCAGCCTCTGTTGTAGACAGCATCATGCGGTCCGTACATCCGTCTTGCACGCCAGTTGGCCGCGCCATTGCTTATCTGAACGGCGACGCCGTACGTTGAACGGCCCGTCGCCTTGTCTCCTTTCCAATCAGAGTTCACCCATAGGGATAAGGATGTTCTATCCTCAACCCTTGCCGCCTCATTGCTGAACGCTTCGCTGTCCCAGTGTACTTAGGGAAAGGCCACGTCCTTATCCCCGATCTTGAGGCCGAGGTATCTGGTGCGCTGGTATAGTGGTGAACCAGAACTAGGGCGCCGTCGCCCTCGAAAGAAAAAGGGACAAACAGCTGCCGAAGCAATGGGCAAGGGCTCGTGCAACCCAAGCGTGCCTGTGCAGATGAGGACAGCAAACTAAGGCCACACGGGCACAAGAACAGGGTGAAAAACCTGTCTTAGACCTGTCCAAAGGATTCAAAATTGAAAAGAAGAGAAAGGATGCTTCATTGTTGCTTATAGCTAAAGAATTTGAAAAGTAGGTGGTATCCTTTATATGTATAAGGACCCTTGACTCACTGTACTCCATGTCCTACAGACTACCACTCTGGCCACTACAACAGTCCTTCCCCAGCAATTTTCTTCCAAAGTTGTAACAAGTCCAATGGTGTATCAGATCTAATCAGAGGGAGATGAAGTAAAGAAATAAAGAATTCATTGCAAACTGCTAAAGGAAATACTGCAAACCAAACCATCCTCCCCAATTCAACTCTTATACTTCTTCCTATTGCTTGAGCTATTATTCAAATCAATGCAGGAGTATCAGTATCCATCTTCAGTTCATTTGTAATACGGGCATGATCTGGATAGATCCTAACGCTAATCTCTTCTCTGTTTCCGTTTGCTTTCAAACTCCGCTCGAGCAGCAGCAGCAGCAGCAGTTCTTTCCTGATTCTGCATCCTCACTCGACGGATTCTTTCGCAATTCGCTTCATACATATCCATCTTGATAGCATAATCAAACTCTATTCAGTTCGGAGAACCTACTGAGAGCCTGATAGGGTTAAGGCTATGAAGCTCATTCTATAGAGGCATACGAGGCTTCTGAGGTTTATCAGGAAAACTGGGAGGCATGATGTTGCTGCTTCTCAGTCTCTGATGCAATGGGGCTTCAGTAGCATGTTCAGGCTTAGCTGTTTGCTGTATTGATAGGTTGATTGTTGGTTCTGGATCAATAGGCGTTTCTCGAGGTGAAGAGGAGTAAGGATTGGTAGGAGTTCCGGATAGGAATCGACTTAACTCTGAGCTGATACTACGTTCTCTTGATAAATGCAAGATCAGGCTAGCTGGAGCTATGCTCTCTCGGAACTGTTGTCTTGATGGAACTAGGCTGGGTGCTCTACTCGCTCTGAAATCCTCCAGAGCAAAGGCTGATATATTCCTTCTCATTCTATCGAGATTGCCTTCAATAGATAGTTTAGGCAAGTCTGCAACTCCTTTCACAAAGAAGGTAACATTCAGCTTGTAAGTTATATTCAGTATTTCACCAGCTTCTACTTGTACAGCCTTGTATTCTTGAAGTAAAGCACTTCTTCTTAATGGCTAATCAGGATATCGTATATAGTTGCTATATCCCAGCTCATAGAAGAAAGCTTAGCAGTGCAGGCTCATTATAGCTATCTCTGCACCCCATTCTTCCATATTTTGTGTAGTCTCTCTATAGTTAAGATAAAGAGCTTGCCTCCAGTCTGAACAGCTACTAGATGATTGGTAGAAATCAGTAGATTCCAGAATTCAAAGGCGAAACAGTTCGATTGTATAGAGCAGAGCTGCATTCGAATCATTATCTAGCAGCATAGTTGGAACATTCTCGAAATCCCAATCCTGATTGGCTCTAGCATTCCTGAGCTAACTATTCAGATAATGCTTGCTTGTATAAGCTAGTAGGATATTGCTGGATTTGTATATAGCAATGTAAAATCCTTTTTCAGTTTTCATATCGAGTTAAGATAGAGCACAAGCTGAAGTTGCTGTATTGACTGAGAGAAGAACCCATAGGCGCCTCTGTCTAGCCTTATATCTGAGCAGATCCTGCTTATTAAGAATATCAGGAGAGCTAGATGAATGGGCTATCAATGGAATATGAAGGCATCCTATCAAGAATACGTTTTGTTGGTTGTACTGAGCGTAATAACGAAAAGCAGCTATAGCGTGCTGCAAACTAATATCTTAAGGAACTCTTGCATCTAAGAATCCAACTAGATTATAGATATCGAGAAGGTATCTGGAAGGATTAGCGCTGAAGATCGTAGGCAAATACAACTTGCAAGGGAGCAACTCTGGGAAGTACTTCTCGACGAGTCCTGCTGCTAGATGATTTTCTTCATCCCTTAGACTGAAGTAGGGCGGATGATTCTTGATTACTTCAGTTAGGTACAGCGCTCTGGGAAAAACAGTCCGAAAGCAGTAGGCTTTGATCATCCAGTTCCCTCAGCTATGCTGGATAGGTGGGAACAGAGAGTACTTGAATTCGGCTATTGCTGCTGAGTTGAAAGGAAAGTGAAAAGAAAAGAACAGCTTTATCGGAAGGTAAGCAATTGCGAGAGGGGTTTGCAAAGGTATAAAGTTAAGGGACTGAGAGGATGTTGACTGAGAAAGAAAGGTAGAGAAGAATGCAGCTTCAGCTTGAGGATCTGTTAAGGAAGATGATGTTATATAAGCAGAGCAGTTAACAATTTGCTCTGATATCAGTATACAGATCTGGAGCAGCGTTAATGAGGAAGAAAAAGGGTGTATATATGCTTGAAAAAGGTGGTTGTAAAGAGGTTGAAGGAGGAAGAAGAATAGCTAGCTGCGAGTATGGATGGAATGGCTAATTTATCTTATCTAGCAACTATCCAAGTAATTCACTGCTTTCCGTTTGTTACAAGGCAAACAGCTTTATCCT